GAACCACAAAATCCCAACACATCTAACAGGATATTAGCTATTATTGTGATAAGTATTTGCCAGGATGATACCAGCAGCCCTACCTGGGGTACATGGGGTGGAAGTGAGAGCTCTCATCCACAACTCATTTTGGGAGTCCCAGCATTTTCCTGGACTCACCTGATGGTTTCTGTGCCAGTTTCCCTAGGGTTACCATATGTCCAGTTTTCCCCAGACATTTCCTCCTTTTCACTTATTAAATCTCCATCTGGCTGGGCTTTTTCAATGGCTAAAAATATCCAGGATTTTGCCCGGAATTGGGGAGGGGGCAAGTGTCTGTCAAAATTGATCATTTAGAGCCACGTGCCTGGACCACTCACAGTCACTCTGCACACCTGCCCCAGTGCCTGGAAGGAAAAGTGCTGGCTGCATCTTCGGTGAGACCAAGGGCAGGTTGGATGTGGGGGATGGGTTTGGCTCGTCCCATGGAGTGACTGCTTTACCTTCCACCTGTGACGACGCAGTCGGGGTTCCCCTGACACTGCACCTAAGTAGCAGCAAGAACAGACTCCCCCAGCCAGTAGAATAGAGGCTTCTCCAGGATTCAGCACAGCATAGACGTGCTATTGCTACAGGAGTCTGGGCCAGGATGCCTCTTACCCCTTGAGATGGGGTCCGTGGACACCTAGGGTACGTCTAAACTACATGCCTCCGTCGACGGAGGCATGTAGATTAGCCAGATCGGCAGAACCTCGTGAAACCAGGTTTACCTGTGCCGATCAAGAAAGGCTTCTTTGTCGGCGCGGCGTGTCCAGACTGTCCCGATCTGCTGACAAACAGCTGATTGGCAGAGCGGGGCAGCCATTTAAATTTAAATGAAGCCGCGATTATTTTAATTGCGGCTTCATTTCCCTCTGCCGATCTGGCTAATCTACATGCCTCCGTCGATGGAGACATGTAGTCTAGACACACCCCTAGATTCCAGCCCCCTCCTTAGACTGGTTCCTTCATGATTCCAGCCCAAGACTAACCCTTCCCCCAAACACTCACTTCCCTAGTTCCCTCACTGCCCCCAATTCATGCGGGGCAGTGCTGGGCAGTGCTCACAGGCAGAGGCCAGTAGGGGTTAAAGCAAGGGGCTGGGGTTGGCTTGTTCTGGGGGAGGGCTGCGGCACTGGGTTAGAGCAGGGAACTGGGCATTAGAACTTCTGGCTTCTTTCCTTTCCTGTAGGTGGGCAGTGGATCTGTTGGCTAGATTTGGGGCTTCTAGTCTCAAGCTCTGTGAGAACTGTGGGTGCTGGTGCTTGGTGGGGTGGGCAAGTGAAAGTAAGGGATTCTGGGAAGCAGGATTCCTGGGTTCCTTTTCTAGCTTGCCCCTTCTCCCCTCGCTGCCTTTACTTTCAGGATCTGGCCCAGCCAGCAGCCT